TAGCTCTCTCTACTCATGGGACAGCCGTTTTCTTGAGGAAGAGGTGTTTCGGGATTGGATGTCTTCTCTTCTTCGGCTGGCAGTAGTCATCTTGGGAGAAGTGAGCACTGCAGACCTGATGGTCTGCAAGGCGCAGTGTCTGGACAGGAGTGTTAGCATCCATTTGTAGCACAACTAGCCACAACTTCAGCATCTCGCCGTCCGACAAAGGCAGCCTATGAAAGCTGTACGGGGTGTTGCGCGACATCCTGTTCTTGCGTTCGGGAAAAAGGCCCGTATATTTGAGCACTCCAAAAACTCCAGCACACTCCAGGGGGTAGCACGTAAAAGACTCCATCCCAAACTCTGACTCTTCTAGCATAACACACACACTTCATACACACATACTCACTTACAGTACTCAGCGGGGCAGCCCTTCCCCTCTCTGCTCCAACACTGACTGACAGCTGACTCCACCCATTCACACTCACCACTGCCCCAGGGCCGCTACAATATGCTATCTACAGAGATAGCACTGGCAATCTGAACCGGTCAGTGGCAAAAAAAAGCACTTTTATATGGGACTCATTTGCCCCTGTTACCGTTTTAGCTCATTTCGCGCCTCATATGCACACATACACATGGGGAAATAGGGCCCAGGTTGAAAAATACCGAAGTTATCCTTTAAGTTTACATCATAAAATTTGTCATATTGTAGCAAGGCAGTAACCTATAAAAGGAACATTTAATTGAAGCCGTTTTTCAACCACACTCATGCCATAGTACCACAGCAAAACACACCTCAAAGATTTTCAGATGTGTTTGTGTACTGTACAAACGGTGGAAAATGAGCTAAATCGCTTATGGAAATAAGGAACTCCGGACAGCACTCTGTCAGAAGACTCCACTCGCAAATATTCGCATGATATGAGCTCAAAATGTGACGATGCTGGTGTGTATTTCCAAAGCGCTGTCAATCACAAAGGGGTTCAGCCTTTCAGACAATTCCTCCAATCATCATGCATACACCGAGCGTCCTCTCCTGTCTACCCTCCATTAGGTCCCAGGGAAGCTCAGCCTCCCTGGAAGTGACAATTTTGTCACATTTATCCAATGACCGTCTCGCTTTGCTGCATAAAAAAAACCTGCTCAGTGCTGTCTCATAGGAATGCTTGGAGGCTTCTCGTCCACTGTGCTGACACGAGAATGTAGTACAGGGAGGTCGTGTTTGAAAACTGGTGATAAACAGCTGACGTTTGAACATCATAGTCATGA